GCGAGTTTCTGCTGATGCCAAGCTCCGTGCTGGATAACCTGCTGCCCCTGAAGCCATCGCAGTTCGAGTGGTCGCAGGAGAAGCCCTCAGAGGACAGGTGAGTGGTTCATCGCAGTCGGGAGACTTTCCTGCAATCTCTAAACTTTTGCATTGAATTCCCGCTACAGCTACCAGCATGAGGTTCGCTTTGCCCTGCGCGACCCCGTTGAGGTCAGCAGCGTGTTGACCTTTGCCATCTACGGCAACTACTACGATGAGAAGTGCACCTTTGGCGTTGGCTCTGAGGAGCAGCAACTGGCCTGCGGCTACAGGAGCGGATCGTCGCGGCTCGTTCTCTTTGGCACTGGTCTGCTACTGCCATTGCTGCTCCTTCTGCGGGTTTAATCATCCCCTGGAATATCCTTCTATTTGTTAGTTTTTTTTTGTACATAGTTTCTTATATGGATCTGAGATATCGGATGGAAAGTGTTGTGTGTGTGTGTTTGGCCAACTTGGTGGCAATGCTGGAAAAAAAAGTTTTCAGTTTAGTTAAAATATATCTCTAAATAGCGATTATTATGTTGGTTAACTTTCAAGGGGTATAAAACCGTTGGGAGGAGGTTGAGTGCCGACCAAACTGATTTTGATATTTTCGTGTAGCTGTGAGCTTTGAGCTTTTGAGATTTGAGCTGCCCACCGTATGATCAAAGCTGCATGCAAAAATGTAAACAAAGCGTGCAGCCACGCATACACACATATGTATGTATGCACACGAAAGCTCCACACAATCGTTTTCTCTTTCTAACCCCCACTCATCATATCACTCATCAGATATCTCACTCTGTTAATCCTCTCTGAGCGCGTCATCTTGCATTACAAACTCTCTCACGAGCGCAAGTACCGCAATGGGATGGGCATATGACCAGAACAACTGTAAATCAATCAAAGAGATGAGACAAAAAAGAATTCTTGAGTGGTGGACAGGCCAAAAATACAGTTAAAATTTCCTTTAATTTTGTTATTTAATTTATTTTTTTTTTTCAGATGAAACCTAAAACATTCATTCGAGTGGTTTGCTTTCGCCTAAAATTCTGCCATGCAAGAATCAGCACAATGAATGCTCACTAAAATGGAAGAGCAGCAACAAAAGCGAGACTGTCGCGTTAATGTTGATTAGCTGCGATGATAATCTGCGAGTATTTGGCGATAAGATCTCAGCGGATATTTTGCATGGCGTGTTTGACTCGCGAGAGCGACAGACAGACGGGGAGAGAGAGCGAGGACCGGTTAGCGGACAAATTCACAGTTAGTGTGGTTCCACCTTCGTTAGAGAGATGATCATGTGGCTGAATCGCTGCTGGCTGCTTTCTTGTGTGGTTGTGGTGCACCTCGCTGGTCGCCCGGTCAGTGGCAGTGGTGAGTTTTACACAGCCGGCGTGGCAGAGTTTCGGCCAGCGTTGTTCGGTGGCAGTTCCGAGCAGCTGCTCGAGGATAATCTTAACGGCTATCTGGAGCTGATTGCCGCTGCTAATGGCACCAGCGATATTCTGGTCTTTCCCGAGGCCACCCTCAACAGTGTGCTCCAGCTGACGGCAGTGCCGGAGCAAACGGAGCACAGTCTGTGCGAGGCACACGATGGAGATGATCCCCAAGTGGCAGAGTTCCTGCGCCGGTTGGCCTGTGCGGCACGAGACGCTCGCACCTATTTGGTGGTCAATGTCAAGGAGCGGGCAGAGGAGGATGCCACCGCCACGACAGACAGGGGATACAACACATACAACACGAATGTGGTGTTCGACAGGCAGGGGGCGGTGGTGTCACGGTATCGCAAGTGGAACCTCTACCTGGAGCCGCTCACCAATCGCACCCAAGCCGCAGAACTGGCCACCTTCCGCACGGACTTCGGCGTGACATTCGGGCACTTTATCTGCTTCGACATGCTGTTCTATACCCCGGCCCAGGAGTTGGTTGAGCGCCTGGGCATACGCCATGTGATTGTCACCAAAATGTTCAACTCGGAGCTGCCTTTCCTGACGGGTAAGACAGAGTATAAAGCATGCTCCATGCTTACTTGTGGATAATTCTGTGCTCGCTTTTGGCAGCCTCACAGCTCCAGCAGGGCTGGGCCTGGGCCAACAGTGTGACTCTGCTGGCTGCCGGTGCCAGCATGCCACTGGCCGGGGTCAGCGGCAGTGGCATTTATGCCGGCCAGCAGGGTGCCCTTACCAGGATCATGGTGTCGCATCAGGCGGAGGGTCAGCGACAGCTGCTACTGGCACAGGTGCCAACGGATGGATTGCAAGGGACTTCCACTCCCACGGAGGAGGAGGAGTCTCCTTCGACAGTGCAGCTGAAGCTACTCCAGCAGCCGGACATTGGAAGCTTCTCCACTTGGGCCCTGCCCTTGGTCAATGGGAGTGCGGCGAGCAAGCGGCTCTGCCAGGCGGATCTCTGCTGTGATTTCCAGCTCAGCTGGAACCTGCTCGGCGCTCAAGCCGAGTACCAATATCGCCTGGGCGTGTCCGTGGCCGAACGTCGCTACGAGCAGGAGCAGTACAGCTCCATTCGTTTGTGCGGCCTCTTCGCCTGCCGCGATGACAGCCTCGAGTCCTGCGGTCTGCTCAGCAATCAGCTGGAAGGCCATGGCGGTGGCGTGGAGTTCACTTCGTTGCGGATCAGCGGGGAGTTTGTCAAGCGGCCGCGACGCCTGCTCATGCCGAGCACTCTTACCTACGGCCTGTATGCGCTGCAGCCTTCGGAGCTGGCCTGGAACATGCAGGAGGTGCCTGCGAATGACAGCCACACCCACACGCAGCTGGAGCTGCGCCAGCCGCAACGCCAACTGCTCACCTTTGCCCTTTACGGCAACTATTTTGAAGAGTTCGCCTCCAACGGAGTGGCAGCTGTTTGGCGTGGCATGCGGACGCCGTGGCTCCTCCTGGCGATTTCGATGCATCTGCCCATCCTTTGTAACTCGTTTTAAAGGAGCCCAGAAAGGAAACTTTTCCACCTGTGCCCACCATCATGTAAAAATATAAAATTGAAATGCAAAAGGCAATGCGACGAGAATGCCTGCCTAATATACGTATGTTAAGCATGTACCTTTGTTCTGGAAATTATTCGGAAAATATATATTTAAAGTGCTCCTCGTCGATTCAAGTGCATAATACTGACAATTTTGAAAGGCTTTCAATTTACACTAATTGCTCATTATTTTGCAATAAACATGGCTGGGTGCTCGTAAATCACGCAAGGCACACCAACAATTACATTTATTTACCCATTTAAACACTAAATATTTTCGTTTTCTCTGCCGCCTGGCAGATCATTAAATGAATGTGCGGCATATTCGATGGAGAACTACACTTCGCTACACTTTCGATGGATATTATTATTATTTATGGTACTTCAACTCCATATTTGTAGCTAAATTATTTATCTATGGCTTATCTTTTTGAGCAATTTTCAGCAAATGCTTAACAAATTCTGGTGTATTGTGGCTTTGGTTAAATATTTATGTTTTCTTTTGCACCAACTATAAAATTATTTTACAAGGAAAATTGTGTGGGCATGGGGCATGTTTAAAAAACAATCTGCAGATGGAAAGCTATCGTTTTTATCTTATGTTGCCATTGAACTGCCTGGCTAACGGTAATTAAGTGCTACACACACACTCACGATAATAGCCACATAGCCGGGGTCTATTTGGTTGCCTAATTTATGAGAATTGTAGGCAGTGGGGGGGGAAAACCAGAATGGTGGGGAATGGGAATGGTGTCAAGTTCATGTCATTAAAGGTGTGATTAACAAAAATTAGTAGCTGCTTAACGGATACCCCAAAAACAATCTCCACACATAGAAAGAGATAGAGAGAGAGAGAGACACACACATGGAGAGAAAGAGACATTCAAGGCATCCAAGCACACACACATTCAGAGAAGAGCAACAGTGTGCCGCTGCCGCTGCCGCTGCGACTGGAAAGTAACATCAACATCCAACACACCCGCGCCACAGCAACTAGCAGCAAGCACACACACCACCCCCACTCTCCTACCCTTTGAAGCTTTCGCCCCATCAGGTGTGTGAGAGAAGCAACACATGAAACGGACGCCAGCGCCAGCGTCGGCAGCGTCGACAGCGACAGAGACGCTCTGCGTTGGCGCAGAGAAGTTTTCATTCATTTCAACTGTTGCTCCCCCACTTGTTAGCACACACGCGACTGCGACGACGACGACGTCGACTGCTGCTGCGACAGCTACGGCGCCTGGAAGGGAAGGCGGCAATAGGAGCTTGGAGCAGGGACGTTGATGAGCTTCCAGCCGTGGAGAGTACGAGATGCGTGTGACCAGGGTGTATCCATTAGAGGTAGGCACAAATTATTTCACTAATTTCTTTATTTCTGCAAGTAAATATTTATTTGGAGTCTTCCTCTCTCCATGCTTCACTCTTGTTTGCTACTTTCCCTTGATGTTTCTTCCATATACGGGTCACCCGCCTGTTAAGGTATTCTCTATGCTTCCGCCCGATCTGTCCTATATTGGGATATCTACCCCACTTCGCTTAAATATTACTTGCGACCCACCTGTGCGCGTGTGTGTGTGCTCGAGAGAGCGTGAGTGTAGACTCAACATTGTAGAGATTTCCAGAGTGTAGACTGCGTTATATTTGCCTTGAATAATTTACACAGATATGTTTTATGGATTCCATAGCAAAGGCGCTGGCAAAGGAGAGCTTCGCTGCGCTGCGCTGCGCTGCGCTGCGCTTTTTCCCGCCTCGCACGAGTCGGCCCAAAAATGCAATTAAAAAGCGCAGTACCACTGTTGCTTCCCCTTCCCTGTCCACGCTGTCACTCCCGCCCGTCCCTGCCTACTCACCGCCATGCCATGCAGCTGGAGCCGACATCCAGCCAACGGTATTCGGCTGGCTGTCTGGCCACTCGGCTCCTGCTCGGTCACTCCGTCGTCGTTGGCATGCCGCTGCCGGCGTCGCTGCCCGACGCGTTGCGTGCTGGCTGCCGCATGCTGGCATTCTGCGAAAGCTTTCGGCGCGTGTAACATCCAGTAGGCGTTCAGCCTCCGAGCGGATAACATTGCGTTGTTGTAGTTCTTGGAGTCCAAGCAAGACAAACACTGTCTCTATATTTATATCTATCTATCTCTTTCTCTCCCTCTATCTATCTTTTTCCTACACACTCACACACACACACCCACACACCAAGAAGAAGAAGAAGCTGTAAAATTCACCGTTAAGAATCGAGTTTTTAAAACAAAGTTTTCAAAAATAAGTGCGTGTTTTACAAATTTTTGAAATCGGTTAAAGGAAGAATTTCAACACAATTTGCTGTTGGACAATTTTAAATTCGAATTTCAAATTCTTAAGCACACAAATTAAGTAAAAATCGGAATATCCATTGCTCGAAATTCACTTCAGAAATTAAAATTCATAGACAAAAATATTTGAGAACTTTAAATTGGAATGAAAAATGAAATCATAGAATAAAAAGTTTTAAAAATCAATTTCGCGGTAAAAAATCGGTTGTTTTCCCACCCAATCTTAATTTTTGTTGTATTTTTGTTGTTGTAAACTATTTTTTTGTTGTGTTTGTGTTGAAAGTTTTGGTCCTTTGGTTCTCGCTCTAGCTCGGTGCCTCGGAGGTGAAATTTTTGATTTGAAAATCGTGGATTTCCTAAGCGCGCGCGCAAATTCTCGCAGTATAAATTAAACGAGTAAATGGTTCTGCAGTAGAGAAAGATCCATAGAGCACACACACACACCACGCGCACATACACTTTCAATGTGAAGAGACACACACACACACACACACACACACACACACACACGCTGAAGAAGTCCTAATGTTGTTTGTTGCTATTTTTTTTCGGTTATTGTTGTGGCTTTGGCAGAGACACCAGAAGATAAAAGACAACTCAATAAGCTGATGAGCAGAAAGAATTCAAATAAGAATTACAAAAAATAAAAATATAATAAATCAAATCAATTCAAAAGAAAGAAATACAAATTGAAATTGAAATAAACAACAAAAACAAAAACAAAGAGAAGAAGGTGAATCGGAAAGGAGAACGGAAAGAGCAGTCCGACGGAGAACGGAGAAGGCCATTCAACCGATAAAAGGTAAATGCCTAATGTTTATCGAATACATTTTTTGGAAAACATTTACACAATACTTGAATAACACGAATATAGCGTATACGCAGTGAGGGGATATGAACTATAATAACAAATAATATGTGTAGGATTATGTATTGCTACTTGGGCTATAATATTTGTTGGGGCTTTCGGAATGGGAAATCCCAAAAAATTCTATATTTATGAATTCACGGAAGTCCTTGTTGTGCATGTTGCGTTTCATTGGAAATGCAGGATTTGCACTTGAACATTATTGATCCTTGTAATCCTTTTAGTGGCATATGCTCAATGCGCACCTTGTGCGGAAATTTTGGGAAATATTTCAGCGATGGGAAGTACAGGAAATGCATTGCACTCTATGTTACCCTGTGCAGAGCACAGCAAAGGTTTTCCAACGAAAAATAATGGAGAACAAAAAATTGCTGAATGCACGAGCAGATGAGCATTTCAGTTCTTGGAAATACCTTTTGGCATGATGAAAGGCAAATGCCAATGTCCATTGCACATTGCTTTTTGAGTCTGCCCCAAAAATAATATAATGCATATGTGAACTTTTTTGGAGGGGGTTGGGCCAAGAGACAGCATTCCTCTGTATCTGTCTCGTTGTGGAAGATGGAATTCTTGGAAGATGTTTTCATCAGAGGTAATTGCAATTCCATTTTGAGCTCTTGTCAGACAGAAATACATCACAAAGTGCCTATCCGCGGAACGAAGACAATTTGTTGAGACAAACAACAATTTGTATAGGAAAAGTAAACATTAACAACGAAAAACGTAATTAAATTGGAAAAATATTAAACTAGCTAGCAAAATCTACAAAAACTCGTTAGAAATTAGCTAATTTTATGTGGAACTTTAAATATTTGTATATTTTTAAGGAACTTAAAGTAACTTTGGGATTTTTTTTGTTTGTGGTCTTTGTTGGATTTTGGACTTTGGGAAAAAGGTGTTGCCCAAAGGATATTTGCAAAGGATCTCTCTCTCTCTGTCATCTCTGGTTTCAGTTACCCCTTCCATGGTTTTCATTCGCTTTTCTCTTTTCTTATCTGCTTATTTTTCGCTCTTTGCTTTCATTTTTCTTGTGTTTACAATTTGATTTTGTAATATCCATTTTTCATTCTCCGTTTCTTTTGCTATCTTTTGCTATTTTTCTTTACATTTTCAAATTTGTCTTCTCTTAATTGTTTATTGGTGTTTGGTTTTCTCATTCTTTTGCTTATAATTGGTGATTTTCTTGAATTTTCTTTTGGTTCTCCACTGGGTTCCCACAGTTCGAATTTCTTTCCTTAAATTGAGTTTGGAAATCCATCATTTCCATCTCTGTGCGAACATCTTGCGGGTCCATTAGGTTTCCTCCTGGACGGGCGAAATGTTTCAATAAATTTGCCAATTTTCCAATTTTCCAATTTGATTCTCTCTCTCTCTCTGCCTTTCATTCTGCTACTGTTACTGTTACTGTTTCTGTTCATCTTTATCTCTTTCTGTGCTGTGTTTATATTATTTATGCACATTTTCTGTGTAGCAAATCAAATTCGGCCAACGGAAAACTGTGCGTATGATTAATATCGCAAAATATGCGCAAGATTTGTGTTGTGATCCAAAAAACAGAGGGGTGTGTGTGTGTGTGTGTGTGTGTGTGTGTGTGTGTGTGGCATGTGGCATGGGATTATTGGAAATGTTTTTTCCTTAATTATTGGCCAAACGGCATTAAATTGTTCAAGTATTTACTAAAGCTTAACCAAAACACAAAACGGAATAGAAGAACAGAATATGTACATATGTGTGCCATGATTTTTGGATTTGCTCGATTTTCACGATTTCCACTAAATAAACTTTTGATTGTGTGTATCTTTGGTATATATTACGAGCACGAGCACGAGCACGAGTACGAGTACGAGAACGACTGCAAATACGAGTATATATTGTACGATTATTGTGCGATAGCTGGATGAGGGCATTCGCCAGCAATTGGCAGCTGTTCGATCTGCGAGTACACTCACAGAAATGTCCCTGCATGTTCCCCCGAAACTTCAGTGCACATTTTTTGTTTTTGTTTATGTTTTCAGCTGGTAAAATTAAGTTCTAAAATGGATTATTTTATTCAAAGCAAGTTAGCTAATCAATTTCTCTGTGTGTAGTTTTGATACATCAATAAAAACTCACTCTCTGTCGTTCTCTCAGTCTTCCGACATTATTCTTGATTCTCTTGCTTGATTCTTTGTTGCTCTCTTTCTTGCATTGCCGCTCTTTCTCGCTTGCTGCCCATAGATTTTGGAATGTGGCATATAAATATATTTCGCGTGCTACACGAATTGATTATAAATCCCATTTGAGCGTCTCATTAAACATCAACCCTAGCATACATATGTATATACATCCATATATGTACATACGTATGTACTCGAACGTCTCGTTCGACTTGTACGATGTATGCTAAATGTATTTACTCGCATTTCGTTGTATATTTATGTTCAATATATAAACAATTAGTGTGGAATTTGTGTGCGTGTGTACGATTTTGTGTCTGGTATTTCTGAACTTTAAACTTTTTTGTGTGTGTTTTTGGCACTGCTTTTCCATTTACCATTGCCCGTTCGCCCATTTTCATTCTGCTGTTGCTTCTGGAAGGGACTGCAAATTGAATTAACGCTAAATGTAAATGTGTATGTAATGCCGCGATCTAAAACCCAGAAAGCAAATACAAATACACTTATCCAACGCATACACACGGACGGACGCATGAATAGGCAAACGGACATAGTGGACAGAACGGACAGAGAGCGGACCAGCGGATAGGCGGACAACGAACGGACGGAGCGACATGTAAACAGAGCCAGAGGCAATGGCAAAGGCAAAGGCAAAGGCGAAGGCAAAGGTAACAAATGGCTTTTCAAATAAATTAGCGGGCGGCATTTGTAAACAGAGAAAGATGCAGAGATTAAACAGAGAGCAGAGAGAGTGGAATAGAGAACAGGAGATGGCCGCAGAGGTTTGGAGAAAGATAGACAAATAAGCAGAGAGGGCGATGTGTGTGCGTGTGTCTACCACTACCAGGGGTCGTACCATCAATTATCGACTTTCAATGAATTCGTTTACTTTCTTGCAACATCATCTGCACAACTGTGCGTCTTCGTGTTTCTTGGAAATATCTTTTACATATTCTGGCCAAAATATATACCCTAGACAACAGTCATGGAAAGATGGTTCTAAATGGGAAATCAGTAGAGAATTGTGTGAAGAAAAGCATTGTGAAATTCCCTAATTCCTATCATCGCTAAACTTTATAGTTAGCCCTCGCTCCCGCGTGGCGCTACACCTGTGGCTGGGATTCCATGGAGGGATTCCGATTTGCAGCAACTATAACCGGTTGCAAGTGGTTCCATTTTGCTTGCTTTCCTTTGCTTATTTTTGGGGAAACTTTTCGAAGTGAAGAACGTCTGGATGCCACGAGTATTTCAATTAACCATTAGGTGATGGTTCGAAAGGGGCCATGGGGACAGGCAGGGGTTGCACAGAAGGCAATCCATTAATTATACAATTAGAACTCGGACTCGGCAGCAGCAGCAGCAGCACGTGGTGCAGCAGGGAAAAATCTATGTGTGTCATGCTCTCTTTCCCTCTCCCGCTATCTCTCTCAGTCTCTGTGTGTGTGTCTTCTTTTGTGCTGTTTGCTGTTTTGCATCGTCTGCCCCGCCGTTTGATATGCAAAATTCAGAATGTGTTTACCTTGAAATATGCGCCATGTCACTTTGCCACTGATGCGAGAGTTGAATACTCGATGGAGCATACACATACCCACAGCCAGAGAAAGGCACATAAAGGGACGGAGAGCAAGGGCAGTAGGGCGATAGGAGGGTAAGAGTGCACCAGCAGAACAGAGTGAGCATTGCTGAAATGTGAAATAGTCGTGTACATTGTGCAACATTATGCTGGCCCCGATTGTCCGCCTGCTGCTCGCCTGCTGCCTTCCTGCCTGACAGGTGAACTGCTGCCCCTCGAGTGGGGGCAACTGCGAAACATGCTGTGGAGCAGGGTGGGGGGGTCACGGGACAAGTGCAGCTGCCTGTCACATTTGATAAGCTGCATGCCCTGCCCCATGGGGCAAGCCAAAAGCCACTGGGGCACTGGTAACCCTCTTTTCAAATGTCATTGCGAGCCGGAGTCTCGACCAGTCATTAACCAGAGACTCCAGAGCGGTGCCACTAGGTGGAAGCATTTCCTTTCCCCCTTTTCCATTTACATTTTCCGCATTTGTTCGTCTGAATGGATGGTTCCTAATCGCTGCATTCACGCTTAGCCACTCGTTGCAGCCGTCTTTGTTCGTTGCGCTCTTGTTGCTCGTTGTCTGTTGTAATTTCTGGCTTTCTGGCTTTCTGGCGTTGTTCGGTTTGCTGCTCTCGCTGTGTCGCTGTTGTTGAACTTGGGTTAAATCTTTTGATTAGAGTTTCCTTACACTCGCTATTTGAACACTCGTTATGAGAGTTCTCGCCACTCGTTACACGCAATATTCGCAGCAGCAACTACATTTATTCGGTGTATGCATATCTCTGCCAATTGCCACACTCCTCCACACTCAGGCGTGCTTGACCTTCTCCCTGAGATGCATTTGTCCCCCTGCCGACTGCTCTTTGGCTTCAGACATCAGGCTTCACTTCATTTCCGGGGCAATAGCATTGGCTTGTCCGAGGAAAATTCAATATGCCAGAGGAGGCATTTCCGTTTTGCAGTTCAATGATGCATGCCGTTGGATGTCTTGCAGTCTCCCTCCCTTTCCCTTTGTGGATCGCCTTGAGGTTTCCTTCTGCTGTGTTTGTCGTCCCTCGGTTGAGGTCCTCTGTTAATTTTCATTCACTCATTGTCTCCCCTCCTTCTCTCCTCTCCACTCCTCTTCTGATTTATCTTTCTCTTCCTCTGCTCTTGCTCCTCTTGTGCTGTATGCAATTACATTTTGTGTTTATTTGCGGCCTCATCTCAAACCCAAAGGC